TATTTTGACCAAGATTAAAAAATATGACCAAATCGCTTCCCTTTCATAGTATGTTTTTGTTCAAAGTTATTTAAGCAAAAGTGCTTTATTCTTTATGTATTATAAGACCTTTCTACTTGTAAATATCCCCCTAATCAAAGAAAGAGTTTGGGTCAGTGCCACTAGGAATAGACTCTGAGTGGTGCATTGGATGATTGATTTTTAAATGAACCTATATCAAGAATCAAGGAATCTGTTTTATGTCTTCATAGTATAAGAATGATGCAGTCTAAATCTAGAATTTGTAATGTTGATATAATATTGTGTATCCATTTGTTATTCCTCTTCAATTTATACTTTAGTTGAAGAAGGAAATTAGTCATAATGATTATTTACTGATGTTTGCATTCCTGCAGATTAAGGACGACACAAAAAGACCGGTATATTGTGCCTTGATACAGTTGTTACAGGCCAAAGACCTATCTGTGAGAGTATGTTCTATCATTTTGCTTTTCCTTTTTCATGACGTTTCCCTGCTTCTTTCTCTGCCCCTTCATAATAACCTATTTATGAAGGTTTTGTACTTTGCTCACTATGTTGTGTTTTGTTGGTTTATCTAGCTGCCTGCAGATCATTGTGTTTTCATATTGAAGATGCAAACTTTTCAGGGAATGATTTTTCAGATCTACTTCCTGTTTGCTGGGTTTCATGTTTTAATTTGGTCAAAGAAGTTCAAGAGTTTGATTCAAAGGTAGTTATGTTGTTGGTTGTTGTTGACGTTCACTACTTGCTTAGGCATTATTTTCCTTTCATTTTTATAGAAAAGGTAATTTATATCTTACTGGACTGTGGAAAATTTCTGTAATCTATACTCAGCTTAAATATTTCTTTCATGCATGTATGACCTCTGATGATAATATTGAATAGACGTGCATATTACTTGAAAACCTTTTTGTAACGACGTGCTTTGCTTGTTCCTACTTTAGATAATTTTTGTCGTGATTTGTTTCAGTAATATAGATTCTCAAATATGAGATGCAAATTCTGGCATTGGGAGTCTGTCTAGATTTAAATGAGTCTTTGTTTGTGTTTGTAAGCTTAAATGCACTTGTATATGCAACTGTATAACCTGACATTTAATTCACATTTTGCTCAGTTTGCTGCTTTTCACATAAATTTCAGGTCCAGGTTTTAAATTTGATATTTGTTCTTTTGGGCCACGTCAATGAAGTCATCCCATATGCTAACAACTTGATGCAGTTTTTCCAGACGGTATTGTTGAGATGTTGTGTTATTACTTAAATGCACTACATCTACTCCCCAAACCCGAATTTTGGACTGGCTGTTAAATAATTTTAAATGATGTAATAGATACCTAAGGTTGAGGATCGAATGTTACTAAATTTCGGTTTAGTCTTTATACTAGCAATGGTTGTGACAAACAACAAGGTTCTTTTTGGGATCACTTCGAAAAGCTACAACTTATATAGAACCACTGCTACAGGAATTTTATTATGTTCTTTGGTATAGTGATTTTGAAATTGTTTAATTCCTATCGTTTCAGTTTTTTAAAGATCGACACTACCTGGACAAGGAATGAGATCAATACTTCTCTGCGAGTCAAAGCTAACTATTTTCTTCTCTTTGTTTTTGATTTTTTAATTCTTCAAGGTTATTTGTTTCCTTTTTAACTAATTTTTTTTTATTAAATCAGAGAAGATGAAGAAAAGTTATTTTGGAGGTAAATCACTTAACATTTTCACTTACATATTATCCGTTCAATATATATTTTGTGGTAAATAAATAGACTGCCTACTAATACTATTTTCCTGAGTTTGAATCCACAATAAGTTCTCTGTTAATGCTAGGTTATTTGGAAATGGACTTGTTTTAATTGAGTTCGAGTAAATGAGAATAGTGCTAACATTTCTGCTTTCCCTATGAATTCTTATTTTATTCCTTTAAATGGTCTGATAATCTTATTCGAGATGCCCTTATTGTTGAAGTGAATGGTGTGGCAAACCTTGTTGAATGTTGGTCACTATATATGGTAGAACTTGACTTTATTGTTCCTTATAGTGTGTGTTAAGTAGTTCCCCTTCTTGTCTAAGGTTCTTATATTCTCATGTAAGGTTTCTATATATTATAGAACTAATGTGACCTTGGTAATAAGGTTTGTTGTGGTGCTGGAAATGTTGTATTCCCTCTAATTGCTACATACCCAGAGGTTGATCTATGATGTTCCGAGACTATGATGTTGGTGACCTTGCTCAGGTTGATCTATGCACATATCGTTTAGCACCATTTTAGTAAAATTAATGTGCTAAGATCTTATAATCTGTTAGTATCTTCTTGTGATAATCTGAGAACATTCTTGGTTTTTTGTTTTCAAATAGCCATAGGTGATGGATATTATGTTTGTAACTTAATGTGAATATATTGTATGCATATGGATTGCTTATATATAATATGATATATATATTTAGTATTATGAGGCATTAAATGTGATTTAGTTTGATTATTTGTCAATCTACAATATATATATATAATTTACGACATACAATCACGACACACGAATGTGTGTCATCTTTTCTAATGATGTGTGCTTCAATAACACGCAATGTAAGCCATAAATGCGTGTCATAAATTTATCACACAAAAATGTGTGTCGTCTTCATTTATTATGGGGGTTTCAATGATGCGCAATGAGCGTCATAAATGCGCATCATAAATGTGTATCATAAATGCGCGTCATAAATTTATGACGCATAGTTGCGCGCCATCTTAAATTCATGTCGGTGGCTTCAACGGCAGGCAAATGTGTGCCATCCGCACCCATAGATGACGCGCAATGCGCGTCATTAAAGGGGTTTTTTCTACTAGTGAACAATACAAGGCGCGACTTGTTGCGAAGGGATAAAAGCAAAAGGCATGAATCGACTATGATGAGGTGTTTGTTCCCGTTGCAAGAATGATGACAATTTGATTACTGAACAACCACACTGGTACATGAAAGTCGGAGAAGAGAAGAAGGTGTTAAAATTGAATAAGGCGCTTTATAGGTTAAAGCAAGAACCACGAGGATGGAATACACTTATAAATACATATTTCAATGAGAACGAGTTCAAGCAATGTCCCTATGAGCATGCCCTTTATGTAAAGCAGAATGAAAGTAACGTGTTATTTGTTGCTCTTTATATCGATGACCTCATTTTTATAGGTAACAATGATGAGATGATAGAAGAGTTTAAGGGCACAATGACACGAGAATTTGAGATGACATATTTGGGCTTAATGAAGTTTTTCTTGGTTTGGAGGTTAAACAAGTATAGACGGGTATTTTTGTATCACAGGAGACATGCAAAAGAGATTTTGAAGAAGTACAATATGGAAAATTGCAACCCGGTATTTACACCAATGGAATCAGGTGCAAAATTCTCAAAGTTCGATAGAAGGGAACGTGTCGATGAGAGTAGATACCAGAGTTTGGTAGGAAGCCTTCGCTATCTCACATGTACAAGACTAGATCTTTCATTAACTGTCGGTATTGTAAATCGGTTCATGAAGGAGTCGGTTTATTCACATTGGAAGGCATTGAAGCGAATTCTATGGTATATCCAAGGAACGGTGTCACTCGGGTTGTTCTACTCGAAAACAAAAGATTACAAATTGGTTGGGTACTCCGACAACGATTGGTGCAGAGACATAGACGATCAGAAAAGCACATCGGGATATTTTTTTTATGGGAGATACTACGTTTACTTGGCTTTCAAAGAAGCAACCGATTGTGACGCTCTCGACATGTGAAGATGAATATGTGGCAGTTGATGTGTATGTCATGCGATATGGCTTAGAAATTTGTTTAGCAAGATGGAGCTAAAGCAACTAGGTGCAACCATGATTCATGTTGGCAACAAAACAACAATTGAGTTGGCAAAGAACCCGATGAACCATGAAAGAAGCAAACACATCGATGTTCATTTTCACTTTATTCGAGATAATGTGAAAGAAGGAAGTGTGGACTTGGTGCATATGACAAATTGGGATCAAGTTGCAGATATCTTCACAAAACCGCTGCCAAAAGTACTTCTTGGCAAATGCAAAAGATGTTTGGCATGACGGATGGTAGAAGCAAAGTTTACGGGGGAGTTTTGTGGAATAAACATTAAATGTTGATTTCAGTGGGAAAATAAAAGGTCAAGAGTTTTTGTAGCTTAAAGGTCAAGGGGTGATACAGGAGATAGTGGTCTTTTATGATTTTTAATAAAATTTATTATTTTTCTGTTTTTGTTAGAGTAGTATCTAGTGTCTATATAAAGGCCTTATTGATTTTATTTGAAAACAACTCAGATGAATACAAAAGTTAAAGCATTTTGAGCTCCTATTTCTCTCCACAATAATCTTCGTATATGCTTCAGAAAGTTAAATATTTTAAGTGGGTTCTATTAGAGAGAGTTAAAAATCACTTGGAAACATTATAATAGTTGTGGGTTAATTTGATTTATGTTTTACAGCAGAACTAAAACACTTGTCTCGTACACTTTTAACTCTAGATTAGTTTTCAACTTGAAGATTTGCAGGTTTCACAGTTCAGTTTCCATGATTCTACATATTTCATCGTTGTCATGGTCTGGTTTCTTAATTTGGTTCAAGAAGAAAGCTCAAGTGTCAGCAGCCAAAATTAATATTACATAATTATCTCATAAAAATCATTATCCAAAATAAAGAGTATGGTACAAGAAGTACCATCCAATGAATTCTGCACTGTAATTTAACTCATGAATTCTCGAGTACTTGAGACGAATTTAAACCCAGGTTTAATTGCAAGCTGTGCGCTCATCATCAAACAGAAACTTTTAGAGATGGAAACCTAGAGAAAAGAACATATATGGTTCTAAACAAGAGATCAGCAATTGAGATGAGAGGTTCATAAGAAAAGGGAGCATTCAAGGAGCTTTTTTATTTCCACCATCAATCCTTAAATAAACAACAAATTGAAACTGTAGCTTACATCTTCGATGCTCATGCACTGCATATAAGCACTATGGTCCTTCACTGCAAGCAAAGCAGGCCTCTCAGGGTTTTCCATATAGTTGAACTCCTGAAAATCAAGACTGAAATCAATTAATTATATGCGAAGTGAGATAATCAGATGTATGACGGGCCTCATATATATATATATATATATATATATATATATATATATATGTATATGTATATGTATATGTATGTGTATGTATATGTATGTGTATGTATATGTATGTGTATGTGTATGTGTATGTTCTTGGATAGTACCGGTTGAGGGATTGACATTGGTTATAGCACAAAGGGTAGAGTGAGCCATTGCACCATTAATATCCCAATTCTGGGACAAATTGGGGAAGCCATTACTGCAACAGGTGTTGCAGATTGCATCCTTTGAAGTTGCAAGGCTTTGCTGATAACCCAAAATTGTAGATGGCTTCAACATCCTTCTGATCACTATAGATTTTTCGAAGACATTTTCTCTTGATGCTGCACTAGGTTGTTCAACTTGATGAGTAACGACTTTAAAGGAAGACGATGCCATGTTGTTGTGGCCATACACTAAATGATCTGGTTTCTTGGATATTTCCAGTTGTTGGGTCAATGGATGAGTGCTTGAATCTGAACATATGTTCCACTCATGAGCTCTAGCACTACCACTGTTCATCTTTTCTCTAGTTCTTTCCCTTGCTCTTGCCCTTGCCTTTGCCCTTGCCTTTGCCCTTGACTCTTTAAGAGGGGTTGCTGCTAATTTCTGCAACTTTTCCACTTTTGAAAAAACACCCTCTAGCTCAAGTGAGTTGCTTTCTCCTCCATCGACATCAAGCAATCGATTCTTCGCCATCATTTTGTACTGATCGTCATCATCATCAGAGACGAGGAACAACCTCTTTTGACCAACATTCCCATATTGCTTCATCTTCGTCAGCTCTTTAATGGCGTTCCTGGAGTTCCTAAGCAGCCACTCCACCGTTTTGCTTGCTTTATCAAACCCTAGCATGTCGTGAAGACAAAAGAAATCGCGGGCGATTTCTATGGACAGCCTCACCCTCCTATCCCTCACCCCTTGCGCGGTGCAAATCTTGCTGTGCCGATCTTTCTTCAGGGCCTTCTTGACGGAAAAACCCAACCCCGGACGAAGCCCACCACCAAAACCAAGCACCCCACGATTTCCGTCCTCGTTCAAAAGCGCCATGTTGAGTAAAGTCTCGTTGAGGTTAAGCTGCTGAGGGTTTGCAGAAGCGGGCAAAAATGAAGAAGCCAGCACCAGATCATGGTGGTGGTGATTATTGAAAGCATTGTCATTAGGTTCATGGCTTAAAAGAACTTGGGGAAGTTGGCAAGAAGAAGAAGAAGGAAGGTTAGAAAGAGGGTTGACATTATAGCTGTTAGCCGAGGTTGGAAAGAACATCTTAGCGTAGGCAAAAGTAGTGTTGTTTAAGGAGGAGTTGGCTTAACAAAATTAGAAAAAGAACATGTGGGAATTCGATCAGCTGAAGAAGAATTTTGACATTGAGAAAGCAATCACAGGGAAGACAGGGGATCGTGTTGTTTGCCTCGTGCTTCAGAACCACAACCAAACTTAGCTTAGCTAGCTGCTATAAAGACATTGAGCGACACTGTTTCACTTTTTGGCCAAAAGAAATTCCTGAAAATGAAAGGTAATGGGAGGGCTATTAGCGATATTTTAATTATATGAGTATTATTTTATATTTTAATTTATTATTGGAGTTAATGAAGTATATAAAATAAATATTTTTTTACATAACGCTTAAACTATATATATTTTTATACAGATATCGAAAGATATTACGTGGTTGTTTTTTCTGTATGGTGTATTATCTTAGATAGAATTGAAATAAAATTAATATAAAGTTTAAATTTCAAAATTTATCATGTAAAACTATCAAGGATTACAAATTAAATATACCAATAATCAGTTCATCTAGTGAGATGAGGCACTAGGTCATTCTTTAAGTAAGGTCAGGGGTTCGAATCTCGACGTTTGCGAATGGAGCAAATTGGGTTGGGAGGGTTGCTCTCGTCACTGTAGTACCCGATCTGAATTAGTGATTAATTCAAAATTAAATATAAAATTTAAATTTATCTATAAGTAAATAACTTAATACGTTCATCTCAATTTATAATTAATATTTAAAATTAATTATTTAAATGTTTTCTCATATCTTACTTATACTTTTTAAATTACTATAGTTTAATTAACCTTAAATGTATAAGATCAATTTAATATAGACTAAGACTAAATCTTTTATGATAATAAATAATATATACTTATTTACTTATTATATTTGTCATGTTCATATAATCTAATATTAAATAATATCAACGAATTTAAACTTAATTAGTTATTATCTTTATAATGTTACTCGTTAAATTTTTTTTAAAGATAAGAGATTATTTGGGGTAAAATTAAATGAATTTTACATTAACTTCTTTAAAGATTAATATTTTGACAAACCAATCATCAAATTTAATGTTCTAATGACTACAATTATATGGATAAAGATCCAGCCGTTAAGATATTAACATATAAAAGTCACACTAATGTGGATAAGTTTTTATATTCTTAATTTTGAATGTTTTTATAATTATTTTTAAATAAATTTTAGTGTGTAATTTAATATATTGCCAATAAACATATTATAATGAAAATTATATATATTTATATATATATATAATTAATCAATATAGCTATTTTATTTATTAACAATACATTAAAACTAAAATAAATTAAATATATTAAAAATCAAGAGATGAGAGGTTAGATCTCTAAAATAAAATCATATATTCAAATCTCGACCTTAAATCTAATTGAAAATATTATCTATAATGGATTTATATAATCCAATTTGAATTAATCAGTTTGAATCAAATACCTATTATTATATCCTAAACAATGATATAATATTAAAATTACCCCAACGTTTATATAAATGGTTATTTTAATATTTATTCTTTTTTCAGAAACATTTTATCTCTCAATGTTTATATAATTTTTTATCAAAGTGAATAATATTAGTTGAAAACTGTTAACTAACTAACGATCAATGTATATTGCTAATATAATATTTTTACATATGCTTAATTATTGATGTGTTACATGTTATATCACTCAAAATGATGACATGACATGTTTCGCATCATGTGAGGCATGCCACATCACTTAAGGTACTAACATGATACGTGACACATCAACAATTAAACGCATGTGAAATTATCACGTTAACATGTGTTGATAATTAATCAATTAATGATTTTTATATAATATGTGTATTTTGACCAAAAGTTAAAATATTACAAATTAAAATGCTAAAAAAGTATGTATCAAAATGATTATTATAATAAATATAGAGGATTAATTTTAATATTATTTTAAACAATAAATTTAATATATAAATCTACAAAGAGATGAAGACAATAAATTAAATACAAAATAGAGAACAAGTCACCCACTAAAGGTCGGGAGAGGGGGGGGGGGGACTATAGCAGTCATTTCACACTTTTAAACTCGTTATTTCAGATTTGAGGCCAATCTCTCCCGCTTTTTCAAGTCTTTTCAATGCATTGTCATGTACGAACAACAAATAAATCAACCCAAACGTACGAGCTAATTTGGCTTTTCGAAGATTAAATGGTTACGGTAATTAATGTTTAGATTTAAAAATTTTAAATTAAAATTTATTATATCATTATAAATATGATATTTAAATTTAAATTAATTATATAATCAGATCTCCTCTTTTAATAAAAGAATGTTTGCTGATATATTTAAAATTGTATAGAGAAACAGTCTACCTTTGTTTATGGTATTAAATCTTATTTCAACAAAGACAACAAGTACTTTTAAGGTTATTAGGTTTTGATGTTCATCGTCATTCTTAATGGAAGGTTTTATTTTTTTTTCATATATTTAAGTTTAATATTTTACTTTTGTATGTTTATTTGGGTGACAAATATCATTAAATTTCTCTGTATATTTTAATACGTTGTAATTTTTATTCTTTTCATTATTAATAAAATCAAGTTATAATCTTTAAATATAAATTATACTATTAATCATTGAACTTTAGTCATTGTTTTATTTTGGTCGTTGAATTGTAAATGGATTTAGTTTTACAATTAAACTTTTCAAATTAATTTATTTAATCTTACGTCATTAAAACCCCTATAAAGATAAAAGAGTGTCAGAGATCCATTAATCAAATCAATAACAAATAGTTTATTACAGCATGAGTTAAGAACTCAAGAAACTCCGACTTAAAAAGAGAAGAGAGTATTACAATCCAAAGCCTACTTAGCAGGCCACTGTATTTGCTTCTCTACGTACATAATGCACTGTACAAATATGAAAAGCAGTACAATTGTCATGTCTCTTTTAGTTTTATTTTATCTTACGTCAAATTTTCATGAAAATAAAAAAAATTGATAAAATATAATATAAATATTCAACCTTATAATGTTTTAATCTCTTCCGATTCCGATGGTCGTTTAAATTATTTGTCTTCTCAAAATGATGTTTTTTATCATTTAGATTTTTACGTAAATGCAAGGTCTTAAACCTCGAAATTAAGGAAATTTTTATATTTAACTTCACAAAATTTAAAATGCTTTTAATAAAATTTAAACTAATAGTGTGGTAGAGGACGATAAGAAAAGCTTGTTATTGTCTAGGGTGATCTTATCCTCCCTTATGTCACATAATGACATTTTATAAAACCCTAAATATTTTATGAATAAGATGATGAGATGTAGAAAAAATGTCACCTTAACACAAAATAAATATTTTTTAATAATTTTTTTGACATCGCAAAAAAAATGACAAGTCATTCAAATGTTAATGACTTAATAATAAAAAATATTAATGACAAAATTAGAATTGTTTATACTTTAAGGACCAAAACGAGATAAAATATTAAAAAAACAAAATTATAATCATATTTGTTTATTTAAAATTATGTCTTCATCTTTTATCTATTTAATATCCATAAAAATTAAATAAATATCTTCATAAATATTAAATAAATATATTTACAAATATTCAAGAACATACAATTAAGCATATTATGAACAATTAAAAAATCATAAACAATAAACAAACAATTCATAAATAAACATAATTTTATTTTATAAGTATACTGTAATTAGATATAAATATTAACCAATCGATGATAAAGTTGTTATTTATACAATAAATAAATAATAAATAAGTTCTATATGATTTATTAAACAAATTAAAATAAAGAAAATAATTTACTCATCAACGTAAATAAATGAAACTTATTTTAATAACTGAATTAGGAGTATAACGCTCTGATTCTCGAGTTAGTAGTTCGGGCTAAATCGAGGGAGTTCTAGATAAGCTCATTAACCTTGTTAGAAGCCTTAGCCTAAGTTTAAATTGGATTGGGCTTGGTTTGAGCCTAATTTGATTTAAAAGGGGGTATTATTGATTTGAGATCAAAAGAGAAAGGACTGAGGGAGTAATTATACAATTTAAACATTCAAAGGCTGAATCTCATTAATTGGGAATAAAGTCGCAGCTAGACATCTCATTTTCTTCACTCTTTTGTCTTCTTCTCTCTTCATCTTTCTCATTTTCCTTTCAAATTAGAACCATCAAATGTGAGAACTTGATAGTGTTGTGGACCTTGGCGTTTTAGAGAAGGTAAGAATGGAAATCTCCTCACCTGGAGCTTCATTTTAAGTCCTCAACATCAAGGTTTGGTCATAGTGACCATGGTGAGGGGTTTTAGAAAGGTTGTGGGCTTAAGAACTCTAGAGAGTATCTAATCCAATCCCAGAGCTTAGGAATCACGTTTATACTTTTCTTGAGTCCTAAAATGATTTAGTAACTCATTTTCTTTATTTGTGATAAGTGAAATAAGTTGGAGAGAGCTCCAAGTAGGGATGATAATTTCACTTGCATCCGATGGGTTCCGACCTAATCCGACCGTTGAATTTTTTTTTTTTAAAAAAATAGGTTCGGGTCGGGTTGGATCGAATTTTTAAGGGATAAAATCAGGTCAGATTCGGGTGGAGAGTGAAAAAAACTCCGACCCAAGCCAAGGATAATAATGTAATTTCCTTAAAAAATATTATTATTTTAATTAAATCCTTAATTTATATCTGGTTGGAGTCGAGTGAAGGGTATATATTTTTCGAGTCGGGTTAGGTCGGATGTAGGATTTAAAATTTTCGGGTCAGATCGGGTTCGGGTAGAGGGTGTATATTTTTGGGTCGGGTCGGGTTCACCAAAAACCCCCTTTGCCATCCCTAGCTCCAAGGACAAAAGCAAGGAATAACTAGTTCTTAGGTGCATTTTGAGTGTTTACAATAGCCTAGGATTCAAGGTAACACATTTATAACTCATATATACTACTTGTAGATCACTAGATGTGTTTGTTGGCTTGTATGATTTCATAGAGCATGTAAGTGCATCCATGAAAGTATAACATATGATGATATACAACATCAAAAACAACTTGTTATGACCCCTATCAGCTTATATAAGACTTAAATAACATTTAAGGGACTTAGATAGGCAAATAGGTGAAGTTGGGTGTCATTTTGGTGAGAAAATAAAGTATTTTAAGATTTGGGTATCGATATTGGATAAACAATACCTATACTAATTCTTCAAATAGTCAAAATAATGAGTTTTTTGCTGGATAGTATCGGTACTTATTCATAGAGTATCAATATTATTCTTCGGGTATCAATTTAATGGTGGGGTATCGATGTTTGCGTTAAGTTGTAAATTTCAATAGTCAATTTTGGTACCGTACTCAAGGAGTATCGACACTACTCAAAATAGAAGGGTCGATACCCTAGGTAAGGGTATCGATATTGAGTTATATTTTCAAACACAGAACCTCATTTTGGGATCAATACCCAAGATGGTATCGGTACCCTAATAGAGAAGTATTGATACTTCACCTAAGGGTATCGATATTGAGTTATATTTTCAAACACCGAACCTCAATTTGGGATCAATACCCAAGATGGTATCGGTACCCTAATAGAGAAGTATTGATACTTCACCCAAGGGTATCAATACTGTAAGGTATTCTCATAACATCGAATGTAATTCTGATATCGATACCAAGGGAGGGTATCGATATTACCATGTCGGTATCGATACTAAGAGACTTGATATCGGTACCATTGAACAGGTTTTGGCAAGAAGTCTAATCTTGATAAGAGGGTTCGGGAAGGGATTTAAAACCACCAATGCTTCTCTAATAAACTTACAAGTGAAAACTATTAATAAATACAACAAAAATATAAGAAAGTTTGTGAAGTAAGATGCCATAAAACTAGCATTTGTGTGACGCTACAAAAACAAGGACACTAGCAAGTATGACGATCGTCTTGTTGATTAGAATACCCGAATATATCTCATCTACTATTAAGACACTTCAGTTGTTAGCTGGACACAAACACCCTAAATACTCTCATGGAATAAATTAAATACTCTCGTGGAATAAATTAATCGAGTGTAAATTTCCGATGTAATTTTGAATCTCACCCAAATACTCACGAGGATCATAGGTAAGTTAGAAAGATGTTACAAGAAGATTTTATTTATATTTATTTATTTTAACAAATAAATATAAATAAAAAAATAAAATTACTCATTCAATGCCAAATTTATTTAAAACCTTAAACACAACTCTTTTAAGTTTAATTTGATTGAAATTATTATCGATTCAACCTACATGAAGATGGACATCAGATCGAACATACTCTTTTGTTTTTTGAATAACAGATCGAACATACTGTTTTTTTTAAGGACAAATTGAACGTGCTTAAATAAACGAAACAGGGCGAAACGAACACTTTTAAGCTTTACGTACATTCAAGACAGGACTGAAATAACATTCAATAACTCGATTCTAGCATTACAACATGAAACCAAACGAAACCAAATTCTTGTCCAATAATAATAATAATAGCAATAATTCCTTGGAAAGTAAAACATTTCAACTCCAAGTGCTGATGAATGTATATAGATAAGGAACCTTCTACAACAGCCCAAATTGCATCTATGTAGAAGTAAATCCTGCAACATAAACTACATATCATACGAACTTCACTCATCACTGCTGTCCCTCGCCTGACCCGGGTTTCGAAGCTTCCTTGATCTCATCTCCAGCTTCGTCCTACATCAAAGAAGACACATCAATCGTAGAACACATTCAAGCACAAGCAAATCAAGATACCACGCAAGTAATCCGATATCCCATGTAATCTGTTATGGCATGTTGACTCTAGACACAGAATTCTTATTACAGTAAATAAAGCAGAAAGATTTAGAAGGCCATGGTAGAAAACTCATGAAAGAGAAACAGAGAGAGAGGAAGAGACCGTGATGTCAGATGTCCAAAGGGTCAGATTGTCTCGAAGTAGTTGCATGATCAATGTACTATCCTTGTAGGACTCCTCACCCAATGTATCCAACTCAGATATAGCCTCGTCAAAAGCCTGTCAAATGAAGAACATCTCATTTTATGATGGAAGACAAACAATCTTCAGATATTAAATTGATCTCCTTGAAAATATTTCTGGATTTTCACATAAGAACAATCTAAAATCTACGCGTTGAGCATATATAGGGTAAAATTAATAAACCTTCTTAAAACGGATAACATTTTATGAAATACAGAAAGCAATCACCAACATATCACGTAGACTCACTCTATGCTATAAAGCAACACAATTTATGATCAGAAAGTGTGGAGATATAGTCGCTCCTTTGAACTTCTTTTAAGCTCAGTGTCCATACCATCACAAATATCAACCAAATTCACAAAATATATGGAGTTAAAAGGTTCTCAGGCCAGCAACTCTTGTAGATGTAATCAGAGTTGCATCAAAAGAAAATCAAGTAGGAGCATGATAACATTATAGTAATTTACAATAGCATCCTAAACAGATGAGACTATAGCAACAGAAGTTTAACAACTAAAACAGCATAATTTGGTTCATAATCTGTTATAACTCAAAAAAGACAAAATTACAAAAGAAACCATTATATATTAGAAGAGAATAAACACCTGTTTTGCGAGATTGCAAGCACGATCAGGTGAGTTTAGGATTTCATAGTAGAAAACAGAGAAGTTAAGAGCAAGTCCCAGCCTAATCGGGTGAGTAGGTGCTAGGTCACCAAGAGCAATATCCTGCCATCATGAACAAAACAAAAAGAAGCTATAAACTTCTTATCCGAGGATGCTCAAGAAATTATAGATAAATAACCCATTGACAAGATGGCATTATCGATTATTCAATTTCACCCACCTGAGCAGACTTGTAAGCCAACAAAGTACTCTCGGCGGATTCCTTCCTCTCAGCACCGGTCTTAAACTCAGCAAGATACCTGTGATAATCACCCTTCATTTTTAGGTAAAACACCTTGGACTCGGCAGATGAAGCTGAAGGAATGAGGTGAGACTCAAGAAGACTCAAAATCCCATCACATATCTTGCTGAGCTCGGCTTCAATCTTGGCCCTATACTCCTTGATGGATGCAACATGATCCTCATTTCCTCTGCTCTCTTCTTTCTGCTCAATAGAAGAGATGATCCTCCACGAAGCCCTCCTAGCCCCGATGACATTTTTGTAAGCCACGGAGAGAAGGTTCCTTTCCTCTACAGTCAGCTCCACATCGACAGTTTTTGCAACTTTTTCCATGAACTCTACCATTTCCTCATAGCGCTCGGCCTGCTCAGCCAACTTAGCCATGTATACATTTTCCTCTCGAGATGAATCAGTTGACGACATCTTTACTATATCAATCTAATGCTTGGTCCTGCAATACCAAATGATTTACTTTTATCAAACAAACATTTCTAACGAATTTTCATTGATCTAAATGAAATGCTCCATAGTTGTTAAACTATTGGAAACATTCTCATTCCTTTGTCCTAAAACATAAGTTTTGAACTTTAAGTTCTTCCTTTCTTCAAAACTTTTAAATCAACGAAAAACAGGTACAACCTAAATATAACTATTAATAAAAAAAGATCCAAATTGTTCGGAAGAAGATAGAACATTAGAACCAGTTCCTGTCCTTTCCTTTTCAACGGTTTCTCAGTAACCAAACAGATCGAATTCATAACTTCTTTGCTTAGTAATTTTTTATACTTGTGTGAGCAGTAAAACACCCAGTCAGAACAAAAAAACTTCCTCAGTAACCAAACTTCCCCAGATTTCTAGGAACCGAACAGATCGAAACAAAAAATAGACCACAGATCAGTTAAATCAAGCAATAAAAAGCTCAAATCTCTAACAGATCGAAAGAAAACCACTAAAAACTAAATCAAAGAAAAAATAAACACCAAAAAACTCATCTATAAAAATATATAAACTACATATATATCTCAATAAAATGAAAGAGATAATCGATGCGAAATTATGCACCTTTTTTTTTTGTTTCGATAGCTTTGATGGATATGAGATGAGAAATGAAGATATAATATAGAGGGGAGTGAAGAGGGCAAGCAAGGGCAAGGGCTTCTCTATTTTTTTTCTTTCTTCGTTTTTGTTTAGGTAAACTACAGTTAATCGCATTTAAATATTTTGAGATAATCACATATTTTATTCTTATTTTTTATATATTCTTACGATTTAATCTTATTTTTAATAAATTAAAATAAATATAATCCTTCAATTGAATGATGTCATATGTCATGTCATGCGTCACCATTCGATTGGAGGATTACCTTTATTTTAATTTAATATATTTATTTCCACTAATTAAAGAATGACATGTGTCACTCTCTGGTTGAAAGAAAACAAATGAAAGAAAATTAGGGAAAAAATGATTCAAACCTTGATCACTTAGGAAACTAAACATGTATATAACCATAAAGTCAAATCATTGCTTGGTGTATAACCATAAAGGCAAAAATGATTCAAATCTTGGTCTAAAGAAGACAACATGATGTATATATTTTGTATCTCAGTGTATAAATATTTAAATTCATAATATTTCATATATATTAACTTAAAAATATTTTTATTATTAACTTAATTTAAAAATATTTTTTCATTTATAAATGTATATTTTATGTTAAAATTTATTTAAAAGTATGACTAAATTGAGAGAATATGTAAATAACATGACTAAATGTGTGATTATGTCAATTATCACGTCACATATTCTGTTAATTGTTAACGGCGGTTAGTCCGTGATGTTCATATTTTAATTAAGTAAAAACAAAAATGATGATATTTTAATTTAAAAAAAATATCACATCTTATGTTTTTTTGAAATCAATAACCAAAAGTAAATAAAATTAAAAAATATATGTTCATTCGTGTAGTTAACCCTTTTGTTTATCAAACTAATTTTTTTGGACTGTTAATGGGAGGTCCATAGAAAATTGGATGGCCCAATGAGAATGTGAAAATCCGTTGACTGACAAGCCTATTTCAAATTAAATAATTTTATTAATTTGAATATTTATAATATAATTATATCTTTAATGATTAATTTAGATGACAGTTATCCAGATCCGATTCGACGTGATTTTTTAAATGTATTTTTAACTAAAAAATTTGTTTTTGATCGTAATTAATGTCAAACGGATAAAAAATAAAAAATTATGGTAGAAACAATTAGGAGCGGAACTAAGAATTTATTATAGTGTGATTAAAATATTTTTAATATTTTTATAAATATAATTTTTTAATTGAGAATAACTAGATAAATTTTATTTATTTATTAAATATATATTTAATATTAATTAATATTTCAAAATAATAATTGGTGGGGCCAAGGCTCCCCTTGTCCTTTGCCCCCATGATGTTTCGTCACTAAAAACGATGGTTTCAAACTAATAATTTTACGTTTAATAATAAATTATAACATGAGTTTCAATCAATTATGTATTTATATTTTATTTTAATAATTTAACATTAACAACCTTAAAAATTAATTTATTATTTAATAATTTAAAAGTAAATAAAATTTATGGTTTATATATTGAAATATTAATAGTGAATTAGTATAAAATATATTTTTATTATAATTAATGAGATATCTTAAAGTATTATTTATATTTTTATTATAGTTTAAGTGATATATTATATATCATAGTATTAATAAGTATAAATATAATTTAAATTCTATATTTTTAATTTATAACATAATATTTATAATGAACATTTGATCTTTTCAAACTCATTTTTAACAACAATTTTAAAAAGCTAAATTTTAAATTGCACTTCTAAAAAGCTTTTTTTTTTTTAAATTTATCGCACTTTTAAAAGTTATTTTTCAAAATTTCTGTCAAACTAATCATAATCCTTTTAATCATTTATTAAGACATTTTTTATAAAATATTTTTTTATTAAAAAAATGTTTATTGTTTCGGTATATAATTATTCTAAGATTTATTTATTATATTTATTAAAATATATTTTATCCGCCATTAATGATTTATTTAATATTGTAATTTATTTTTAAGCTGTTATATTTTAAAATTAAAATAAAATAAACCAATATTATTTTTTATGAATTGAGAATTTGGTTTAGCATTCAAATAAATGAGGTTTTTTTTAAGTTATAGTGTTTAACGTTTGAGACTTATATTTTTAATTTTAAAAGAAAATCAAGAGAAATATATTAAATTTGAGGTGTTTGAGATTAATGTTTTTTAAATTTAAGATTTACATTAATATCTAAAATAATTTCTCTCTTTTTCTATCTTCTCTCAGTTTTACAATTTTTTTTCCTTTTTCAGTCTGTTAATTTCTCTAAAATAATATATATATATATATGAGAGAGAGAATGAGTTATGAAAATGATAAACCAGTGCCGTGTATTAGATAATTTTTAATAATATTCTTGTAAAAAATATAGATTTTAGAATGATTATGAAACAAAATATTAAATATTTACCTTAAACAATGAAAATAAAAAGAATTTAAATACTTATTTTACATTATTTTTTAATTAAATTATAAAGAAAATACCTCACAAACATAATTATTTAAACATGAGATGTAAGAAGAATAATATTTTCTTTTAAGGTTCTTTTAAGGTGTCTAAGAATTTGGTCCATTGTCTAGTTATTTAGATCTCGGTGGAGACACGGTTGGGACTCGGGCCTCTTAGTCTTTGGTAGAAGAATCTGGTTGTTTTTTTCAATAGAGCATTCGGTTTTTTTATTTAGCCCAATAAGGAGTTTGATTTTTTATTTTAGAAAATGTGAGAAATGCTACAATATTCAACGAACTCATCGTCTCGAGGTCATGAGTTCCGTAAGATATATTATTTTAATGGATCCAGATGAGTGAGCCTCACAAGGGCCATTAATTTATTGAATTTAACACGACTCATCATCTCGATGTGACATATCCCTTTAAAAAAATATTTTTGAAAAAATTATAAAAAATAATTTAAATTTTGAAATGTAAAATTAAAAAGAAAAAGAAATCGTTTAGTTCATTCGAATTCAAAAAAAATAGCCATTTATAGTCGTTGATCAACGGGTAACAAAATCGGTCACTTGGGCAACTGTCCCCATGAAACTCATCACCTTGACATGACGAGTTTCACCAGGTTAAATTTTAAAAAATAATTAATAATTTTATTAATAATTTTATTAAAAAACAATGTTTATAAACTAAGTACATAATAAAATTTATTTATTTTTTAAATTTCTTGACAACGTCGAGGAGTAGTCAAATGATAATGGCGGGGGGCTCGTCGAGTACGTCGAGGTCATCGGCCTTGATTGTCATTGTCTTAATCTTCATCTTGGGTTGTTCAAAAGGAGGTGTACTTAACACACTCTGAGATCCACCTTTGAAATACGATGATGGGCTTATGGTATTTGACGTCATCATTATCGTTACTGAATCGACTTGGCTACCTTGTTAACTATATATGATATGATCCTATGATTGAGTATGTTGCATTGCATCCCATGAAGCTCCAACCCAAGTCGGTTGAGTCTCGGTTGAAGTATGATATGCAGTATAGAAACTGAAACTAGCCTGAGATGCATAATAGTAATCTTCATATGCAAATGCAGATGTTGAAGCATAAGATGACGGTGATTTCTTCGACTTGGCAAATCTAGCCTTGTGTTGTTCCCATTCTCCCATCTCTTCCGCTGTCGAGAGATATGGTTTTCCATTTGCTTTGTAATTTCATAGATAGGGAGATAGGTCGATATCAAGGTCTACCGGTGTAATCTCGTAACGCACGGGGACTGATAACTGATGCTGATTCAATTGCTCAATGTAGACAATGTGCTTCCTCAACCAATCTTCATTATGTTTCCCACGCAAATCAATTCTATGGAGTGCATCTATATCCTATATTTGCGTAGGAATCGATTGATGAGAAGCAAACTGTCGCAACACTCTATCAGCGACATACATCTCAACAATTGATAAATATAATAATGGAATTATGACACAATGTAAATATGACTCATAAAAAAATCCTAGTAGCAATAACTGATAAATCTCTTTGTCGCAATACAGAAGAAAAAAATGTAAATATTAACTATAAAAGTTAGTGTATATAAAGTTAAACAATTTCAAAAAAAACCATAAAAGAACTAATATTTACCGCATATCGAACGACGATGTCGATCCTCATACGTATATCATTTTTAGTAGCACTCGACAATTTCGTATCAGTTATTTTATGTCACCATCTAAACAAATAAAAATAATTAAAAATAATTAAATAAATATATTTAAAAATTAGTTAGAAAAGTGAAGTTAAAAAATTACATTCCAACCAGAGGAAACTCAACCGGGACTGTTGTAATTGACGTCAAAAATGGTAACCGATATCACACTCATGACTGTAGAAATATTAGACAGCGGCTTTTCGACCTAGATCGACTATTGCAGCCTTGCAAAACTCCCTGTACAAAAATGCTTAAATCGTCAAGCCCCAACTGGTATTACGACACTCATCAAAATTATTCAATATAGGCAAATATTAAGTATGCGCCAAATTACCAAATTTATCTGGTAATAATATCCCTCCGATCAATTGGAGAAAATATGCTCGAGATGCAAAAATAATCTCCTCCTTCGTAGAGTCGTCCTCACTTGAAATTCGGACTCTAACCACGTCATCCGTATTCGATAGTCGTCCATGACCTCGTATGGTGGCAGCCTTCCTAAAACTTCATGTATCTTATCGATGGGGTTGCAATCCTTCCACCTGATGATGGCATCACCATTCACAAGAACACTAAGTTGGTAAGCAATGTCTTCCAAAGTAATCGTCGTTTCACCACTCAAGAAATGGAAAGTGTGTGTCTCGGGCCTCTAATGTTCAATTAGATTGGATTGCTGAATATATAAAATCATCCGCTTATATAGATCTCTCGATGTCATCTCGCGCTGATGAATACTCCGTTCTTCTTCCGAACGGAGTTCGATTGACGAAATATGAACTTTATCGAGGCGTAACATCTCATCTCGGGAAGCTATTTTTTTAGATTTCTTTAGGAAGTACGAATTTTGCTCAAATTTGTA